TCGAGCTTCCCCTCAGGGTTTTTAATACGGGACCTCTCCTCCAATTCACCTTCCTTCAAGACCTAGCGTCCTTGCTAGCACACAGCCTCGTGCTCAATCCCCATTGGGGATTAACCTCCTCACTAATACATCGCCCGGTGTCTGGCTCTAATACCATTTGTAATGACCCAAATCCACCGCTAGTAGATATTGTCTTCTTTGGGCTTTCCTTTTCGGGATTTCCCTTAACGTCTTTTTTTTCATTCTCCTCCTCAACTAATGTGGGATCTCACAATCCACCCTCCTTCAGGGTCCAGTGTCCTCGTTGGTACTCGTTCTTTTCTCCAATCGATGTGGGACTTCCCCCTAGAAAATCCAGCTAACGTCCTTACTGACACACCACCTCGTATCTACCCCCTTTGAGGAATAGCCTCTTCACTAGCACATCGCCTGGAACCTGGCTTTGATACCATTTGTAACGGCTCAAATCCACCGCTAGCAGATATTATCCTCTTTGGGCTTTTCCTTTCGGGATTTCTCTCTGACGTTTTTTTTTCATTCTCCTCCCCAACCAATGTGGGATCTCACAATCCACCCCTCTTCAGGGCCGAGCGTCCTCGCTGGCGCTCATTCTTTTCTCCAATCGATTGGGACCCCCACCAAATTCACCTCCCTTCGGGGCCCAGCGTCCTTACTAGCACACCGCCTTGTGTCTACCCTCTTCGGGGAATAGTCTTCTCGCTGGCACATTGCCCGGAACCTGCTCTGATACCATTTGTAACGGCCCAGACCCACCGCTAGCAGGTATTATCCTCTTTGGGCTTTACCTTTCGAGCTTCCCCTCAAGATTTTTAAAACGCGTATGTTAGGGAGAGGTTTCACACTTTTGGGTTTTTCGTTCTTCTCCCCCACCGATGTGGGATCTCACATCGAATGACTCGATTGAGTCTAAAACAAAAGCTTCTACTCGATCTAATTCAACCCACGAACAACTTTAAAAGAGAGTACGAGGAAAAGTTTATTGCTTGAATCCTTAAATTAAATAAAACTCGAACCAAATCATAATTGGACCATAAAATAAGGACCAATCGTTTCAATTATTTGGTTAATTGATCAAACTTTGTGTCAACTATACAATACCTGACCATGAAGAACTGAGAGAATATGTTGGTTCTAAACACTCTCTCAAGCCTCTTCTCATCAATCTCCTCCACGGTCCCGGTGTACTGCTCGGCAGCGCCGTTGACCAAAATATCGACCCGACCGAACGCTGCCACCACCTCCTCAACCACCCTCTTGCATTCCTTATCAAACCCCAAGTCAGCTGCCACCGCCATTGCCACCGGCTGCTTGCCCTCCGCCGTTCGACACTCCCGAAGGATTTGAAGCGTGTCAGCAGCATCCCTATCCTCCTGCCCCTTCACATATGTGAATGCCACAGTCGCCCCCTCAAGGGCAAAGCAATAGCACACTGATCGACCGATCCCGGAGTCGCCGCCGGTCACAAGGGCCACCTTGTTGACTAGCTTGTTGGAGGGTTTGTATTCAGAGGTGGAAAACTGTGGTCTAGGGACCATGATGTACTCTTTGCCTGGCTGGGTTGGTTGGTGCTGAGGAGGAAACTGATGCCCTTTGGAAGCCATTTGGAAGATGTGGCGAACTAGCAATGGACAAACCATGTCTTATAAAGGCTATTGGAATAGGGACACGTGGTGGAAAAGAGTGTACAATTTGAAGTATCCAAGTTATTCCCATTAAGGACAAAGAGAGACATATGGACACGTATGTTGGAAAGACATCATTGCAAATTGAAACCTTGTATAGGACCCTTGTCGTTTGGCTCCTAAACATAAGAGGTAGCGGAACGTGTTTGGTCTATCATATCAAAAAGATGTAACGGTCCAAGTCCATCGCTAGTAGATATTGTTTTCTTTGGGCTTTTCGTTTCTGGCTCCCCCTCAAGGCTTTTAAAATGTGTCTACTAGGGAGAGGTTTTCACACCCTTATAAAAAATGTTTCGTTCTCGATCGACCCCCCCCGAGGCTAGAGTCCTTGCTGGAGCATGTTCCCTTCTCCAATCGATGTGGGACCCCTCAATCCACCCCTTTTGGGTCCCATCGTCTTTGTTGGCACACTGCCTCATGTGTCCTCCCCTTCAGGGCTTAGCATTCGCGCTAGCACATCGTTCGGTGTCCGGCTCTGATATCATTGTAACGGTCTAAGCCCACCACTAGCAGATATTGTCATTTTTGGACTTTTCTTTTTGGACTTCCTCTCAAGGTTTTTAAAACGGGTCTTCTATGGAGAAGTTTCCACACCCTTATAATGAATGTTTTGTTCTTCTCCCCAACCGATGTGGGCTCTCTCAGAAAGAAAACCCGAACAGTGACCATCAGATATTTTTGGTTGCTTGCATACAACTCTAGTTACACGTATGATCTTAGAAAAAAAAAAAAAAAACATGCAATTGATGAAGACTTGTGTAGGGCCATGAAATAGGAAACTCGTTTTTTTTTTTTTGTACGACATATGCTCTAGAGTTGAATTACTATTGACGTAACAATTTAGTACACGAACTTTAATAATCAATTTAGTCGTTGCCATATTTAAAACCATACTATTTAGTCCGGAAAAATTTCAAACTTTAATTATCATATTCTTTTTTATAGTCGAAAAACTTTAATTAAAGAAATATGGATGTTAATTTGAAATTATTTTATTGGGATACTTACCTTATCATATAATTTAATATAACTCAAAAATCACATATTTTTATTTTGAATTTTGAAATTTAGTTGGTAACCGACCCTTGATATTTAAATTGGTAATATATAATGGTTCGAACGATCCAGATCCACCACTAGCAGATATTGTCATCTTTGGACTTTTCGTTTCAGCTTCCCCTCAACGCTTTAAATTGGGCCGGGAAGGTTTCCACACCCTTATGTTTTTTTGTTCTCCGTCCCAACCAATGTAATTTTGTCCCTAAATATTTGAATGGATAACTTTTGGTCGTAAAAAATGTCAAGCTTTAATTATTATTTGGTCGTAAAAAATGTCAAACTTTAATTATTATATTATATTTTGTGGTCCAAAGAGTAAAGTTATATTAATTAAATGTATATTGATATTAATTTGAAATTCTTTGTTAAAAGCCCAACCAACACAAAAGCCGGGATTGGAATAACCTTTGCTTCCGGACCCTTATTGCTCAGGGCTAGATTCTTTTCATTCACACCTTCGGTCTCAGAATTCCATTCCCTCTCTGTCTTAGCCTTTGACGCTTGAGCTTTGTTTTAGAACTCTGGTTTCACTATTCTTTGATTGGGTAAAGCGCTATTTGAAGAACCTGACCTACACCTATTTCTTCTTTCACCTATTCTGTAAACTCCTTCTGAAGGAACCAGATTGAACTCGGTCTCAGAATTCCATTCCCTCTCTGTCTTAGCTTAGCCTTTCTTCTAGCTTTCTTTTATTCTCTGATTGAACTAGAAAAAGAACTAGGGTTGAACTATTCGAGAACGAGGTAACCTGATTGAACTCAAACTCAAGTTAAACTCAAACTCAAGTTGCAATTCATGTCACGTTAAAAAAGAATTAGAAGGAAGAAGAAGAAGAAAGGTTATCTCAAATGGGGAGTTAGACTCGAATATAAAAATAAGGTCCCTTAACTTACTAAGTCACAACAATTATTTCATTTCATCCCACTTAAGATGTTCGGAGTTGGTCAGAGAATACATTTTCTAATGACTCCAACCCAACTTAACATTTAGATCCTTTCCTACCATTTTCGACGGTCCATTTTCGGCCTACCATTTCAACGGTTCGTGAAGCATGTTTTGACACTATTAGTATGACTACTTTTTGGCCTGGATCTAAGTTTATATTATTGTATGCAAATTAGGTGAGTCAATTTCCATAGTAGGATTCTAAATTAGAACTATGGGACTTGAAGTGGAATTAGATTTGGGAGTAGTTCTAGAGACTTCAACTTAACCCAATCAAATAAGTAGCTTCACTGATGGCTTGGTTGGATGACTTGTTTGCTATATGAATGACGTTGTGTGCCCTATGACCCCTACATGTCTCGTGTTTTATGAATTTTTGCCCCATGACCCCTGCATGTCTCATGTTTTATGAATTTTTGACGTATACTATGTTATGTTTATGTTGTGATATATGTTATATTGTGTTACTATGTTATGTTATCAATTATACTACAATATGATTATGTTATGTCATGGAACTATGTTATGTTATCGATATTGTTTATGCATGAACCTCCATATGTCACACTATGTAAACTATATTAATATGTTCGCTCAATGCCTATGAGACTTTAGAAAGTCATGTATATTAATCATGAAAGATACGACAAGTATTACATGTGTATGTCTCATAGAAACACTATGTCAAGAAAATAATAGAGGTATGACTTGCATCATAAGTATATACCATATTTTGGTGTCATGGGACTTCATGCATTTTGTCTATCTGGGATACTTTCATTTATGATTAGTGTAAATGCTTACCTTATGATATTCATTTTTGTCATGATATTATGCCGGCTCCTTTCTCTCTATGGTGTTCGACAACGTGAACATATGCTAGCCAACCAGTCAGGCCCAAGGGATACGTATAAGAGCTCTCCTAATGGGTCTATATGCGCATGCATGAACCGTGAAGAGAAGTACTACACATTCAACCTTACTCGAACTAGAAAGAAAAGCTCAAGACCATGATGTTTTTACGAAAAATATTGACTAATTAAGAGAAAGATCATGGGTTTATAAGAAATACTATCTCCAACGGTACGAGGCTTTCTGGAGAAACCAAAAGCAAAGCGATGAGAGTTTATACTCAAAGTGGACAATATTATGCCGAGGTTCGTGATTTCTAACCGCCTTCCAATAATATCTATGATTTTCATAATTTTGTAATCAACATATCCATTGATTTTGACCAACATTTCAAAAAAATCATGAATAAATATCTCATCGAGTGATTCAAAACTCCAGAAATAAGTATGGAAGAATAGTGGAGCATTGTTCTAAAGATTCATTATCAACAGCTATACACAGAACAATACATGAGACAGATCGAGTATCAAACATCTCATCATTCAATCAACTTAAAATTGATTCATCGCTAGAAAAAGAAAAGCTAATCAAAATGCTTATACCTGGCTTGCACATGCTCTTATTCTTCCAATCTGAAAATAGGACAGCAATTTTCAAGCATCAAGGTAGTTTCTTTTAGATTTCTTAGAAGCTTACCTCAACTTCTTGTTTTAGAGTGTTGTAAAGACTATCAACAACATTGAGCAAAAATCCATCTGAACCATGTTTTGCTAGCAAAGATAATGATACCGGAAGGCCATTGTACAAGCCTAGAGGTATGCTAACCTGCAGATTACTTAGTCAGGAAAAGGAACATCAAAATGGTTGCTACAACTTTTGGGAGAGACAGAGAGAGAGAGAGGGAACCTGACACAATCCAGAAACTCCAGCAATGGAAAGCAAGCTGAAAGCTTTCGCACGAAAGTTGTGTAGCTTCGAGACGTCTGTGTTTAGTTCTGGAGGGGGGCCTGGGACTGTAGGAATTACAAGGACCCCAAAATCCTGAAATGAAATGATCCAAAATAATAGCTCAAGATTAGTTTAAAATTATGATTCACGAACCGAAAAAAGTAAATCGTGTATCGTAAAAACTCTTCATTAAACAAACTCCAATGTGCCGCTATAACTCTAAAACAAATTTCACCCCATAATTTGATATGATAGCTAGATGTCACTTTGTAGTTGCCCAAGTAAACTATATATATATATAACCCAAGCCTAATGGTCGACCACATTCAATGATCAAAAGTTATGCTAAGAGCTCCTTTTCTTAGATAATAAGTGAAACTTTGAATGAAGGGCTCACTCTTTCCATCCAATTACTTGAGGAAAGGTCGAAGGTAGTCTCTTTAGATTCAATTAAAACTTTTTTTTTTTTTTTGAGGCATTAAGGAACCAATTGGGGCAGGAGGTCAATTACCAAGATACCGCCATTGTCTCACTAGCAGAAGCAAATAGGGAACTAGAACAAAAGAAGGAGCTTTTGGACAAATCCGTTGCCGGACAAATGAAGGCAGAAACTAGAAAGGAATTTACTTCATTGAAAAAGAGAAAGAAGAAAGCAAGACAAGATCCATTCTCCTTTACCTTTATCAAAGAATAAGAAAAAAGAGGAACAAAATACGAAACGAAAGATTAATTCGAGGAACGAAATACGAAACGAAATACGAAACGAAAGATTAATTCGACTAAACAGGAAGGAAATACTCAACAAGAATTTGTTAAAATGTCATCACTAGCCCAATAGGGTTAAGCCCAACCATTATTATTATTAATGTATGAATAATTATATTTATGATTTAGGGATTTCAGGAATAAATTTAAGAAAATGATTTAAGTATTCTAGAGAAAAGGGTGAGAAATTTTAGGAATAGATTGACTACCCTCTCGTATAAATACCCCTCCATCCTACTTTAGATCATCATCCCAAGAAATCCCAAACAATACAAAGGAGTAGTTTCTACAGAGTGTTTTGTAAATTCCTTTTCGATGGGTCTTAATATTCTCGCAGAGAGTTGTGTTCAACAGAATTCTCTTTCACTCCTTTACTAAATTAAATAAGGTAAGTAAAGCAGCTGGATGAGAAGAAACTCTCATGTCCCCTATTCGATTCCTTGTCTCACTGTTTGCTATATATAAATATATTCTATTCCACATAAAGGAGAGGAGATTTGAATTTATAACTCATAGGAAAAGGTATAAATGACTAACTACTTGAGTTATGCCCAAGTTGACCAAAACACTACTTGAGTTACACAGGTTTTAGCCTTTTGAGGAGCTCTCCCTCAAAACTAATTTCCAAAATTCTATCCTAACTCCCACTATTTATACCTGTCAACTAAAAGGAAAATGCATACATTTTAAGTTGCTAACTATTTTACTTCGAAATTTGTAATCTGGGTGTGTGTGTGTGTGTGTGTGAGAGAGAGAGAGAGAGAGAGAGAGAGAGAGAGAGAGTACTTCAAGAAGAGAAGCAAGAGCTTCCCGCAGCTTGATTTTAATGGAACGACACAGATCAATATTCTCATCTGTCGTCCTCATGGCTTCTAATACTCGTTCTGATATTCCTGGACCCAAATGAGGATTGCAAGTCCTAACCCATTCTTCGTGATTGATTTTGAACTCATACCTACAAAGGAGAAGTAAAAAGTGAGGAGATGAAGATCAGTCGTTCATTCAGCACAAAAATATATTATGATCAATTAGCTAAATAGAATTTGAGTTACGATTCATGGCCAGATCAGAACCTCTGAAGCAATTGCATCGATCTTGCAAGGGCTGCCAAGGATGGTATGCTATGCTCATGGCCTGCATTTCCTTCAATCATGAAATGCTTCAAACTTGGAACTTTGTCCTCAACATAATTCCCAAGGCTAACTTGTTTTATAAGATGGCCTGCAATTGAAGACTCATATAAGACAGCATCCAACTCGGTTGAAATATTGTATTAAGTGAACTCAAATTTTATGTTTATCATTTTTCTTCACTATTATTATTAATGATCCTATATACCGTTTGCAAGGCTTTGGCTCCGAATTGACCTTTTGTTGAATGTGACAAAAAAAGGCTATAGTTTATGCAATGGCAGACATCTCAAAGTATGAAGTTAGACCCTCTAATAAATTCCCTCTTGCCTAAATGAATGACAACCAAATCATAGTTCAACTTGTTAAAGCATATATATGCCTTCAACTAAAAGGTCAAGAATTCAAAATTTCCACCTCACATTTTGTTAAGACTCAAAAGTGAGAAACCAAAATGCAAGAAATCAAATTCAGATTCATTCACGAACTATTATCAAATATACATTCATCAAGACCACAAACTGTGAAGACAACTAATACCGACTGTCGACTCACCACCAAATAACTTTGTTACTGCATTCACAAAAACTTGCGTCAATCGTTCACTAGGAATACATGAGAGCTTCATACAATCTTCTGCAATAAGCACCTGCGTAGGCTTGTGATGTTCAAATTCTGGCTGTTGAAGCAGGAGCTGGCCTACTCTTTTTAATACAATAGGGTCCCTGGCAAACCATCCTAAAATGAGAAGTTGGTGTCAAAGGATACACTTTGTTAATATGGCAGGATATATAACGTTACATCATGAGTTCAAAATTGATGTCGAAGCCTTGTAGGAAGAGAAAACATGTTCGGAAAGATAGCATTTCGTTGAGATATGGGCTCTATTCTATCTATAAGCAACCAATGCCTATGCTATCAAGAAGTACTGTACCATTCTTAAAAGCAAAGTCACAAGTAAAAAAGCCATCACAACAGTGTCGTTATCACAAAAGAAGATGAAGACAAAGTAACAATGAGATACTACTCATTACCTACTGTATCAAAGCTCTGTGCCATGGGAATTACTCCAGAGGTAGAGACTGCACCATGTGAAGGCCGAAATCCAAAGATTCCACAATAGGATGCAGGCACTCTTACACTACCCCCAGTATCAGTTCCTACAAAACTAAATATGACCTTTACAACATATTCCAGGGAGAATTCATTAAACCACAATTTGCTCAAGGTCAAAGAACTAGGAACTTGCCTAAGGAGAAATCCACAAGCTTTGCACCTACAGCAACGGCAGAGCCACTGGAAGATCCTCCAGGTATCCGATCTGATGCATGTGGGTTTTGGGGTGTGCCATAGTGAATGTTTTCCCCATTTATACTGAAAAAATATGATTATCAAGCTAGTGACTCCACTAATGAAAATATTCAAAAGCCTACATCGTCACAAACAATCATTTGGTGAAAGATTTTCAACTAGAAATTAGAAACCTGTCAAAAGATAATTGGTTCAGTTCATATGTTGACCAATTACAATGCAGAGTTGTCTGCTTGCAATAGAATGATAAGAATGGAGTAGACATAGTTTTAAGACAATTACAGAATGGTGTGCAGTGCAAAATGGTTTTATCTGCTGTATCCCAATTTCCAAAGCTTATGCCTTGTTTGTTTGTTATCAATTGTAAAAAATGAAAGCTAAAAGGAAAAGAAAGAGTAAAAGCTAGAAATTCTTGGTACCTGTAGGCCATTTCATCCATGATAGTCTTGCCAATGCAGGTGGCTCCTCCTTTTAGGATCGACAACACGGCAGGGGCTGTCTGACTAGCAGGTGGATGTGTCCTTAGCCATTCAGGATTTCCAAAACCAGTTACATATCCATCCACATCAAATCTGTTTGGTTCAAAGTCCAATGAGAAGTTTTTCATCAACGCCCCGGTTTCATGAAAAAAAAAACTGACACTTTTATATGAAGGACCATGCATTAAAACAACAAAGAATTATTTTATTGAACTAAGCTTCATCTTACACACACTAATGAACAGTTAAAACAGAAAACCAACTGGTGATGGCTTGTAAGAATGGAGATATCAATATCTACAAATATATCGGCCATAAGAATTAGGCTTTAGCGACAAACGTTACGATAATCTTATGTTATATAACAATTTAATCTTCATTTCACTACTCATAATACTCTTTCTACTCTAAAAGAAGAATTCAAATAGAACTTCACAACAGAAAATTATTTTACCCTTGTATTAAAATGGGTGAGTACAATTTAGCCTTTAAAGTATTAATTTCATCAAATTCAACCCTAAAATTAGTTAAGTGGTAAAATCAATACTCTCTATAAGTTGAAGAATTAAAACAGCTCTACTTTCTCCAGGAGGTTGTAGGTTTGAACCTTAGAGTTGAACTCCCCGCCACATGCCTGATGTAATGTTCTTAAAAGATATAAGATGAGTTACCTTTTACTTCATCGAAAGTTAGGAGCAGTTATGGATGCTTTATGAATCCCATTTTCCCGGTTATATTGGATGCTTTAACATGGTTGGGACATGTTATTGTTAAGCTTGGAAACTTCGTCACTTGCTTTACTTTGTAGTTAGATTCAAGTACCTTTTGTGATTGGTTTTAGACAATTATGATGCTTAACTTTTAGCATTTTTTGGTTAAATTTCTTCTTGTTTTATTTTCTTAATGCATTGATTGATTCATGGAAAACTTCGTAATTTGATCTTACTACTAATTAATGTATCGACTCACTAGTACAAACGGAATTTTCCCCAAAGAACGATCAATTCATTTCATGAATATATGTTGATCGAATAAATAATATCGGATGGAATCATCAATTCCACCAACCATTGAAACTGAAAGCGTTTCATACTATCCATCATACTTTAGAGAAATTACAGAACTCATAACCTGTTATCAAGCCAAATAAAAAGTAGAAAATAATCAAAAAGAAAAAATCTCACATGTCTTTAACAGCGAAAGTGAGGCCAGCCAAGGGAAGTTGATCGGACGGGGAGCTCGGTTGCAGGAGGAATTTCTCCATGAAAGCTCCATGATCCTGCACAGCCATTGCAACTCCGGAGATTCTCCCCCTTTCTTCTCCGAATCTAATCGGAATCAGAGTCCGCCACAACCACCTTAATAGTGGCTGGAAATTGCAGAGCGGAGGTTAAACTAGCGAAGCGAGAGAAGAAGAAGAAGATGATGAAGGATCAGCAAATGATACAACGGAATCGGCAATGGCTTATCCACTCATAAAAAAATTCTATTTATTTAATTTCCAAATTTAAATTTTTCGTTGAATAAAGCTTTTATAATTTTCAAAATATTTAACAATTAATTGATCCAACGAATACATGTTTTATTCTCCTCCCCAACTAATGTGAGACAGCCACCAATTCTCCTCCCCAACTAATGTGAGACAGCCACCAAATCCACCCATCTTTGGGGCTCAACATCCTTACTGAAACACTGCCTCGTGTCTACCCCACTTCGGAGAACAGCGAGAAGGCTGACACATTGTCCGGTGTCTAACTTTAATACCATTTGTAACGACCCAGAACTACCACGAGCAAATATTGTCCTCTTTAGGCTTCTCTTTTAGGCTTCCCTCAAGGCATTAAAACGCATCTGCTAGAGGAAAGTTTCCACAGCTTTATAAAAGGTGTTTCGTTCTCCTCCCAACCAATGTGGGACATCACATATTATGTGTTAGAATTCTCTCACATGTTACTTCTTCACATAAGTGATTGTTCAGACGGTTCGATGTGAGCAATTACCTATATGTTGATGGTTAGAACATTTACTAGCTATAGAATGCATGATTAGGAAATTTTAATGAATTGATTTATGAACATGAATGCGTGACAGGTGTAAATGACTGAAATGTCTTAAAAAAGAGAATTTAGTACTCTACGCTATATATAAAGATTTTCTGTAATGACCCAGATCCACCGCTAGCAGATATTGTCCTTTTTGGGCTTTCCCTTTCGGGCTTCTCCTCAAGACTTTAAAACGCTATGGAAAGGTTTCCACATCCTTATAAATGATGGTTTGTTCTCCTCCCCAACCAATCTGAGACATCACAATCCACCTCCCTGCGGGGCCCAATGTTTTCGCTGGCACTCTTTCCTTCCTCCATTCGATGTTGGACCGCCCCCAAATCCACCCCCTTTGAGGCTCAGCATCCTTACTAGCACACCGCCTCGTGTCTACCCCTCTTCGGGGAACAACGAGAAGGCTGACACATCATCCGCTGTCCCGCTCTGATACCATTTGGAACGACCCAGATCCATTGCTAGCAGATATTGTCCTTTTTGGGCTTTTCCTTTCGGGCTTCCATATTGTGATGTCCCACATTGGTTGGGGAGGAGAACAAACCATCATTTTTAGAAGGATGTAGAAACCCTCCCCTAGAAAACACGTTTTAAAGCTTCGAGGAAAAGCCCAAAGAAAGGGAATATCTACTAGCAGTGGATTTGGGCCGTTACATTTTCATCACGCCAAGAATTCTTATATGAGTTTAAGAACTTAGATTCAAATGATTGACTAGATTTATATTCCTATATGAACATGCATAGATGAACAAAGTTAAGAATAGGGTGCTAGAGTTAGTACAGCTTCACGATGACTAGATGAACAAAGTTAAGAATAGGGTGCTAGAGTTAGTACAGCTTCACGATGTCTAGATGAACAAAGTTAAGAATAGGGTGCTAGAGTTAGTACAGCTTCACGAAGTCTAGATGAACAAAGTTAAGAATAGGGTGCTAGAGTTAGTACAGCTTCACGATGTCTAAATGAACAAAGTTAAGAATAGGGTGCTAGAGTTAGTACAGCTTCACGATAACTAGATGAACAAAGTTAAGAATAAAGTGCTAGAGTTAGTACAGCTTCACGATGTCTAGATGAACAAAGTTAAGAATAGGGTGCTAGAGTTAGTACAGCTTCACGATGTCTAGATGAACAAAGTTAAGAATAGGGTGCTAGAGTNACGATAACTAGATGAACAAAGTTAAGAATAAAGTGCTAGAGTTAGTACAGCTTCACGATGTCTAGATGAACAAAGTTAAGAATAGGGTGCTAGAGTTAGTACAGCTTCACGATGTGTAGATGAACAAAGTTAAGAATAGGATGCTAGAGTTAGTACACCTTCACTATGTCAAGATCAACAAAGTTAAGATAAGGGTGCTAGAGTTAGTACAGCTTCACGATGACTAGATGAACAAAGTTAAGAATAGGGTGCTAGAGTAAGTACAGCTTCACGATGTCTAGATGAACAAAGTTAAGAATAAGGTGCTAGAGTTAGTACAGCTTCACGATGTCTAGGTGAACAAAGTTAAGAATAGGGTGCTAGAGTTAGTACAGCTTCACGATGTCTAG